TTTATAGGTATCAGTGGAACTGTAATTATTTTTTTTAATTCCAATTAACATGAAATTATATTATCAATCAAGTGAGAGTGAAGTAATTTTTTTCTACCTTATAATTAATAATTATCATCAAATCAAATCTCAATACACATAAGTTTCCACAATTTTCTGTTATTAAGTAGAACACTCCCCACCATGCATTGTATACCAGTTGTTTGATGACAGAAACAATGTGAAAATGTCAAACACATGTCGTGATGAGTTACAAAATGTTTAATAATGCATGAATATGTATAGTGTATGTGACAGTGTGCATGTACAGGGCTATACATTTACATAGGGCTGCAAGCTTAGTCGCCTCATAAAATATCCTTTTTTGTCACCATTCAGTACAGGCCACTGCAGGGAGTTGTTAACAATGTTTTCCTTTGTCTAATGTATATATGATATAATGGTCCTTGAACATTGCCTTAGTTAACTGCTAATTGTGAATTCAGTTCCACACTTATACATGTAAAACTACAATGCAAAATTGTTTCTGTGCATAGAAATTTATACAGCATATTTTCTTGTTTGAAGTTACTCTTTAGCTACAAGGGCAGATCTCGACAAAACCTCCACCAATCTGTTTTAGTTGGAGTTTTTTCCCAGACTTTTAACAACAACTTTGATTTACAATTTACACATTTTCATCGGTGTAACACTTGACCTAGTTTCATATTTTTTTGGGGATCATTGGACATTTGTATGCCAATCTGTTTGAAAATCTGTGATCAGTACATGGGAAAATTTTAACCTTCCTCAAAATAGTTAAAGTGCCAGTAATATTATATATCTTTAATATTCTTACTTTGGGTAACACCAGAAAATATTTTCTTATTAGCAGGGTTATTCCTGTGCACCGGGTCTAACAAATTTTATCAATATTTGAAGCTAGCTCTAAGGTCCACTAGTCATTTTTTTTGGCATCCCGTACCTCCAACCTGAGGATTTTTTTTAGCCCTAGGCATTTTTGAGATCTCCAACCTTCCTTGAATTATGGAAAATTGAGCACATATCGTACACAGTACCTGAAACCACTTTTGTTCCTTTAATCGAATGCTTTTATTAAAGGGCCAATGCAGTGAGCTTTAAAAAATGGTGTTTTGCTAGGAGCAAAATCTACTGAAAAATAGTGATTCTTTTACATTTTTAAATTATAGATTATAATTTTACAAAATTAAAAGTTACATGAAATACAGACCAAAAAACTGTTAAAGCCTTGTCATCTTAACAAAATGCAAATTTGAGAAATATCTGAAAATTACACAAAAATTAGAGCTTCTTGCCCTACTCAAATACTGAATGCCTATAGCTATATATGCATGGATTTAAATTTTGAATTTCCATATTGCAACTTATAACAGATGGATGTCTGATATTTTCCAAATGTCTTTTTTTTTTAGAAATATCTGAAAATTGAAAAAAAAAGTTTCTGGTCATGGCCAATGTTGATCAATGCATTTAAGTTTCAATATTATTGAAGGTAAGTCTACACGACGGTGTTTTATGTTGAGTTAAACTTAAGGTATAAAACAAAAATGCAAGCTTTGAACAAACCTGGCCCAGACATAAATGTTCACGGTTTGACTTGAGTTGCTGTGTCATTGATGATGAACCCTGATAGTATAGAAACTCATCCATGTGAAAATTTTCCACCTGCTTTATAAATTTTACAAATTTTATAATGTGACACCTGATGTAATATGTGCATCAAAATGTCCTTGAACACTTACAATATAGATTTTTATCCAATAGTTTTGTATAGAAAGTCATGAATATTCATGATACACTTCAATATGTGATGGATTAATACACATCATCATATGCATGTTTATATACTCCTTTCATACTTTCTGATTGATTGAAATAGATATTTTCAGTAAACCCTTTCTCTGTTATGATCAGTACAAGTCTATGTTATGCTAATTCAGACTTTAAGGATCTCGGTTCCCCGGAGGGAAAACACTAGATAGTTCCAAAGTAGTTTTTAATACATACAGTAAATTATAACCTCAATTTAAATTTGTTTTGGATATATAATTTATTAGTGGTGTACCGATAACCGGAAACATCGATTAAATCAAGCTTGACATGAGGTCGATTCGATAATCAATTTAGCAAATGAAAGATCGATTTTGAAATTTTGTCATGAAGAAGATCTTTTTTGCAGGTTTGCCTTGAGGAACTGGAATTCTTCAGATAATCTGCCAATAAGACCCATGTTTAAATCATGTGCTGAATGCAGATTCAGATCGGAAGTTGTTTTGGGAGTCCATAAATATATATTTCCATTAAGAAATATTTGAAACTGTATGTCATTTGGAATATAAGGTACCCATTTTAGACTGTGTTTCTATTCTAGCTAGGTTTCAACATAAAAAATATTCATCATTTGATTCAAGTCACCCTGGATACTCCACGGGTTACACACCGTTTTACGCTCACTAGGTGACGGAATAGAAGCTGAAGTGCTACATATAGTGGCCGCATTGATATAAAAATTTGAAAAATAATGTAATTTTCAAATCTACCAACTTATATATTTTTAAGTTAATTTCCCTTCATGATAATTTAATGTTTTAATATAAATATGCCAGATGAAAAATGGTTGTGAGTAAGATCAGAAGGGTAAGATCAGAAGGCAATTAAAAAAGAGATTGTAATTGATAACAAAAGAGATGACCAGGACATCGATACACATGGTGGTAGGAACTCAAAGGGAATGGAGTGTGTGGAAATGTCTGTGTGAAGGGTCGGAGGACAATGGTGTGGGACACAGCTTCTTAATTGGGACGGAACTTCATAACATTGGGCCCACGCACAATCAAGGACCACTTCTATTTATCGTGCTTGTCAAAAATTTGAAGAAGTAACATGACACTGTATTCTTACATGTATAATGAAAACATGTGGGCGGTAGAGGTGTTAGAGACAGAAAAGCTATGGGGCAAAGAAGTAATTCCAACAGTGTGGACAAGTTTAAGCTAGATATACCACTGTAAGTAGTAGTAGTAATAGATGACACAGGAACAGTATTGAAACTTAACTCATTCACCCCTTAAGACACATTTGAACCCCTCCAATTCAAAGGTTGGAATAGTTCATTATGAAATTTCAGGGGTGAATGAGTTAAAGTTTGGTGAGCATAGAATAGATATATACACATACATGTACCGTATGGCAGATGTTGATGACCACTTAGTAACGAAGTACAGCATCCATATATGTATTTAATAACTACGATGAATAATATTCCTGCAAGGAAGTCATATTTCCTGAATGTCATTTGCTTAATTGATAGAAAAGATATCACATTTGTTTACTCCCATCCGTATCAATCAGCTCTCCTCTCCACCTTCAAAGGAAGTCAACAGACATCCTAAAGATGACACATAATGTATCAATATACAAAGTTTCATATTTTCAGCATTGTAACACTGACTCAGATATTTCTGATAAGTTGCATATAACCCTTATATATAACAAACAAACAAAAAGTGTTCTCAATTATAAAACACATATTTTGTTCTGAAAAAAGCAATAGTAATTTGCGAATTCATCATAAACTTATGCGATAGAGAAAGAACATAATCTGAACACACCCATTGTCAGTCTGACCACATGGTCACGTTGTGTTGTGACCCATATCAGTATAGCATATGTGTATTTCAGACATTTGTAACGTGACCCTGTGGTCTGACAGGAGGCAAAGAACAATCTTGTTTGTACATTTATTGTTAAAAGTTTAAAAATCTTTGAAAGAATTTAAAATAAAAAGCCAGCTAGTATGTATTAAATCAATGATGATCACGTTATACAGTCTATACAAAAACTAATATTCAAAATAAAAGTGAATTCTATACAATTATTATGCATTGGCTGGACCCAGTGGATGCGTTAATATTGAAGAGTGGTCTATGTTCTATGATTTTAATTGGATTTTTTCAGTCGAATCCTGATTGAAACCATAAATGGCATTATTTTACAAATTTTGATGAGTGCATCAAAGATATATATATAGTAGGTTCTCAATAACAGTATCTGTGTGAGTCTCACAGGAAAAACATATATACATGTGTAAGTGTCGATGACTCAAAATATTAATCCGAAAAATCACTTATGATGTCGCAACTTACTCGGGCAAACACTTGTACAATAAAAGTACACATGCACTTGTTTCACACTCAGTGGGACTGAAAGTCATACTAACATGATATCATCTGACTAATTTTACAAGTTTCAAATTTATCCATACATATTACGAAACATTAGCAGTACTGCTGAACATCATCATGTTATACATTACTGAATGACGCACTGAAAATGTATAAATTAATAGTTAAAGCCTCCGCATTAAAGCCATTTTGGTCTCTGTGGAGTATAACATATAGATAGATAGACTATAAAGGCCTAGGGACTAGTTCCAAGTTGTTTATGATATATATTCTTAGTTGAAGAGGCTAGCCTACTGTATGCATAATACAACTGTTTTTGTTTACTCTGTTCCCATGTCAGACTGAAGAAAAAAATGCAGGGGACCAGATAATGCAGATTACATATATATATCTGTTAAATGTTATGCAAGGATTATCCTGAATGGGACCATGAGGCCGCCCATTGACCCCTCAAAACTGAAATTGACATCCCCGTGTTTTAATTTTTCTTTTAATTTTACATAGAATAGCACCTCCTAATTTTGATATTCATTTTATTGACTAAAAAAGGCTGAAAATGGCCCACTGCTCTCAACTTATGTCGTCGTCTATATTTGTATGATTCGGTGTTGTGATGAAAATTAAAGGTAGAATAATTGAGACATGTATGTCAGTCCTAACGTTAACGTACAGCTACAAGTGCTGTTATATAGGGTAGCGTTGGGCCTACGACACGGTCGAATACACACCGAAAACAATAATGCTGTTTTCTGGTTTACATAGACTTGACCGAATATTAACGCCTCAGAAACTTACCCTGTGCACCAGTGTGCATTTCAAATCCTATAGGTTCCATGGCGCCTTGACAGGGGGTCTTAATCCAAAGTCACACCCAAAACACACACACCGATATATAGTACAGCGCGTTAGCGTGCTGGAGAGGGTCACTGATTTCAGGCTCCGCAACAGGCCAGCGCCGACACTCGTTCTGTAAGTGAGGACTGCACGCTTGCTAACACGTTTATGAATAGAAGCATTAATCACATCTCCGTGGCCTTTGCTATGATACTGATAGCATATAAAACCATCTTAACTAAACAAACAATAAATCCTTATCAAAACAGGTTTCTTCGTTCCACACCTTGCCCGAGTGAAAACGACGTACGGCGGTACTAGGTGGCGCCTTTCCTGGTTTTTCTTTCATTCCGGAAGTACTCGAAATCTTTCGTTACCTGAAGATGATAACGTGTCTATTTATAGAGCTGGTCAGATTTTTACGTGAAAATGAAAGTAGGCCTATTAGAGTACCGAAATTCAGAACAAATTTGTTTTGAGTTGAGACATTGATAATAAATGGTTGTTGTTCCACTATCACTACTGTATTTTATTACATCCCATAATCCAATAGTAGTCGAAGACTAATGGTATGACGTCGACAACGGTGAGTTAAAGTCGTTTCGGTAACAATTTTTTGAAAGTCGTTTTGGGATTATTTTTTCGGGTTGTTTCGGGACATGTCAAAAGTCGTTTCGGGATTTTTCTCTCTTTTTTTATTCTGTAGATACCAGGGGCGGATCCAGGATTTCCTAAAAGGCGGGGCCAAGATTTTTTCTCTCAATAGTCAACGGTGTGCCCCGAGCGCGTACCGCGAGGAGGGGGAGAGTACGGGAGGGGGTCTTTCCCCGAAACAAATTTGTGTTTTCCAGAACGTCTCGGAAGCGATTACCCGTGTTCTGAGGATTGTTTTTATGTTTAATCAACAAGAAGAAAAAAACATATTTTAAGTATGGCCCAAAGACTTTTTTTGTGTACTGGAAAGAAAATTAAAGTTACGGTTCAAATTCTCTATCAACAGCGTGTTTTAGAAGTCAGATGGTATTATTATAGGGGCAACCTGGTGATGACAAATATATGAATCCACAGGGGGCTTGTTCATTATTACCTAATTTGGCGTCCCGCCCGCAAAGGGGATACGAGAGGTCCACCGTCAAAAAATATATGTAGGGACACACAATATCTAGTCTTCAGACATTGTACCTACAGTACTTCATGTAATAGTTTGTCGTACAAAAGAACAAATAACATCATAACATCGTTGCTGTTCAATTAATGAGTTACTCATGGCATCACTAAGTTGCTAAACAAACGGATAAGTTCAAATCAGTGCGACACCCAAGGCCACTAGCTATATAGTCTCGCGTTTTATAATTGTTGACTAATTCACTAGTGTAGACAATGATATATCTGAAATGTCCACGCTGATTAACTCATGTAAGGGCGTGCATATTACCAACAGTGGTACATTTGCTAAGCTATCTGGTTAAAATGGTACAACTTAGGAGGCACATACGCGTCACCTTTAAATTTAATTCAAAATTATCATACTTGTAAGTACAGCATATCATCTGGTACGTACAACTTGTTACTACGTACACAATAGTATGCTGTGTGAAGATACTTTTTTGTACGTACACGATGGTAAGCTATCTGTACCACAATGAGATATTATGTTGTACATACAAGATAGTTAAACAGTTCCAACAATATATATGCATGTACCCGGGCCCCCCGGGGCTATCAGACAACTGTAAGTTGATAATCGGTCTTTGAATCAATCGGTCTCAAGCTTGAATCAACGGTCAATTCAATTGTTCGAAAGAGGGTTGACGAATTTCATTCGTCTTGGATGACACCGGGCATGGTCATCAATAATGGATTCGTACATAATATCGTCAGCGCGAAAAAAAAACTTTATCGTTCTTGTATAATGATATGATTAATATCGCCCGGGAGGTTACAATAAAAAGTATTAATTTTCAGATCATCTATAACGAGCGGTCAATAATATAATTATGCAACTTATGCTAGTATATTTCCGCCGGGCGTTGCAAGTTGCAACTTGGGGTTTTGCGGAGGTGGTAAAATAAAAAACACACTTTAGGGTCAAGATACAAAGTAGACGAGCGTAGCGATGCCAACAAACATTGTTTTAATAAAGAAAATATAGTAAAAATATCAGATAACGGAAACCCACAATGTGTGGGGCGTAGCCCCAGATTTTTTTACACAAGCTCCGTGTATAATTTGATNAACTCATACATTTACCATAAAAATACACAACATAATAACATCGTTCAAAATATATTGCTGGATTTGATGAATTGATTCTCATGCAAGTCTAAAACATATTCTATGTATTTCACGTTTTTACTTTCATGAAATTTAATTTCAATATAGCGAAAAAAAAAAGCTGAAAACATATTGTTAGAATCAATGTTAACTCATTCGTCTCTTAGTGTCAATAATGGAGAATAAGGTGAATTGAAAACATACAAGATACTTTATTTAACGTCGTATACAGGTAAACAAGGAACATTAGCTCTTGAGAGCTATTATTGCGACAAACATATGTAAAAATAACAATAACATATTATATTACAAGTTTGTAATATAATATAAACAAAACATTTGTCACTCTAATTCCCAATATCAAACAAGGAATCAACCTATCAATAACGAAAGAAATTGAATGTCAAATTTCATAAGTTAATTGCTCTTGATCTGTATTTAATAATGAGATTAGTTTCACCAGGTAACAACACACCGTCAATCGGGTAAATGTTGGTAGGTATCCCCCTTCAAGCGCTAGCAATCTGGTAACACTAATGATCCCAAGCACGGGTAAGTCGTGACACAGGTCATAATCATACAGGACTTTATATAAAACGGGAGCGAAATGTAATTTATAAGTGAACATTTTATTTGTCCCGAAACGACTTGATTAAGTCCCGAAACATCTTGTGTCATGTCCCGAAACAACTTCGGGACTCCAGAAACGACTTCAGGACTCTAGAAACGACTAGTTACCGAAACGTTTAGCATTCCTGTGAACTAAATGCCCAAAACCTGCATATCTTTTCTTCGGAACGATAAAGCCATTGTCATGCACCTTAAGACCAAATATCTCGGCCCCTGGTCTTCTTCAATGGTGACAGTCAACGATGGATTCAAGTAGCGATAATCTTTAAGAATGTCAGGGGCCAAATTATTTGGTCTCGGAGCGCTTGACAATGGCTTTTCAGGGGCCGAAATATTGGGAATCAGAATGACAAATGTTTTGTTTATCATTTCTTTGTTGAAAAAAGTTGACTTTTGACTTAAATGCAATACACCGGAAAGAGAATCGCACTTCTATCTACTAGTTCTTTATTGATCCCATGTGACCTTGAAAGTAAGTTAAGGTCATTTATATGAGAAAACTGTATAGCACCCCGCAAAAAGGAACTTGAGAGAAAAAAATCCTACACGTTTTTCTATTACCCAAACTGGGTCTTAAGGAACTTAAGGAGAAAGGTTCTTAAACATTTGATTACATCCAAAATGGCCTGGGTTATATAAAAAGAAACTTATGAGAAAGATTCCTACAGGAGTTTTACCCAAAGTGGCACTTGATTGGTCTTAAAGGAACTTATGAGAAAGATTCTTAAACCTCTTTCTCCAAAGTGGTCCCTTAAGGAAAGTCGGAGACATATAAAGCCATTCACGTATACGTATCTGAAGCGTTTAAGAAAAAAATCCTACATGTTTTTCACCCAAAGTGGCCCCTCGGTCTTAAGAAACTTAGGAGAAAGATTCCTAAACTTTTTTTTTACCCAAGTGGCCCTTGGTTTTGAGGAACTCGGAGACATATAACCCCATATACGTAAACGTCTCTGAAGAACTTAAGAAAAGAATTCCTACATGTTTTTTTTACCCAAGGTGGTCTCTGGGTTTTAAGGAACTTAAGAAAAAGACTTCTAAACGTTTTTACCTAAAGTGGCCCCTCGGTCTTAGGAACTGAGAAAGATTCCTAAAAGTTTTTACCCAAAGTGGCCTCTCGGTCTTAAGGAACTTAAGATAAAGATTCCTAAACGTTTTTACCCAAAGTGACCTCTCGGTCTTAAGGAACTTAAGAAGAAGATTTCTACACGTTTATACCCAAAGCGGACCCTTGGTCTTTAGGAACTGAAGAGATAGATTCCTTAACGTTTATTCCCAAAGTGGTCCCACGGTCTTAAGAAAAGGATTTCTACACGTTTATACCCAAAGCGGACCCTTGGTCTTTAGGAACTGAAGAGATACATTCCTTAACGTTTATACCCAAAGGGGTCCCACGGTCTAACGTTTTTACCCAAAGTGGCCTCGCGGTCTTAAGGAACTTAAGAGAAAGATATTAAACGTGTTTATCAATAGTGGCCCCTGGGTCTTAAGGAACTTAGTAAGAGAAAGATTCCTTAAAGTTTATACCCAAAGTGGCCCCTTGGTCTTAAGGAACTTAAGAGAAAGATTCCTAAACGTTTTTACCCAAAGCGACCTCTCGGTCTTAAGGAACTTAAGAAAAAGATTTCTACACGTTTATGCCCAAAGTGGCCCCTGGGTCTTAAGGACTTAGTAAGAGAAAGATTCCTTAAAGTTTATACCCAAAGTGGCCCCACGGTCTTAAGGAACTTAGTAAGAGAAAGATTCCTTAACGTTTATACCCAAAGTGGCCCCACGGTCTTAAGGAACTTAGTAAGAGAAAGATTCCTTAAAGTTTATACCCAAAGTGGCCCCTGGGTCTTTAGGACTTAGTAAGAGAAAGATTCCTTAACATTTTCACCCACAGTGGCCCATGGATCTTAAGGAATCTAAGAGAAAGATTCCTTAACGTGTATACCCAAAGTGATCCAACGGTCTTAAGGAACTTAAGAAAAAGATTTCTACACGTTTATACCCAAAGTGGCCCCTGGGTCTTTAGAAACTCAAGAGATTGATTCCATAACGTTTATACCCAAAGTGGACCCTTGGTCTTTAGGAACTGAAGAGATAGATTCCTTAACGTTTATACCCAAAGTGGTCCCACGGTCTAACGTTTTTACCCAAAGTGGCCCCTGGGTCTTTAGGAACTGAAGAGATAGATTCCTTAACGTTTATACCCAAAGTGGTCCCACGGTCATTAGGAACTTAAGAAAAAGATTTCTGCACGTTTATACCCAAAGTGGCCCGGTCTTTAGGAACTAATAAAGGGAAAGATTCCTAAACGTTTTTACCCATTATAGCCGATGTAAACCTAAATACGATATATATGGGGTAAAACATCGCATTCTTAGTCTACCTAACACACCTCAGTGTAATATGACTCTAGACCTTATGGTTCCTTAAGTTTTAACCTATTTGATCCCTGTGACCTTGAAAGTAGGTAAGGGTCATTGAAATGGGTGGAAACTTGTAGAATTCCATCACTGGTGCCTACTGGCCAAATATTAGGACGCAAGGTCATTCAGACATCAAGAAGTCGCGCAAAGAAATAATTGACGGACAGATGACGACGGTGCCAGGTTAGCGAAATTTAGAATTTTGCGAGAAACAGGTTCGTGGCAATGTTAACATTCCAGAAAAAGTTGTGTAGTGTTTTTTCCATTTTGAAAATGTGTCCGATAAGGTCAAGTGAACTGGTTTACCATACAAGATGAAAGCAAATGGGATGAATGGCAGAGTATTTAAAACTGTAATTGCAAATATGTATCGAGGTATTGAAACAATAGAGAGTATGAGTAGTGAAAAAACGCCTAGATTCTTTTAGTTTTGTGTTAATATGGTAATTGTTTGGTAATGTGTAATATGAAGTATTAGAAAACACTTAATTACACGAGGTAAAACGTTAGCAACTAGGCTATATACCCAAATTCTAAATAGTTTTAGTTTCATTAACAAATAACGTTCAGGTTTCATATTTTAAAAGAAACAATATAAATTGCTTATTGGTGATCCATTTTATAGACAGAGCTGTTTAAATCACGTCAATTGGTAGTGCAAACTGGTCTGTTTTCTGAATTGGATAACAATACAAATGTAGTTTCCTAGAAAAACAGCGGCTTCGCGTATTCATTACTCTAAACAAGATAGCGTCATCTAACTTGAGTTACTTCCCTTAGAACGTAACCATACAAGATCTAACTCGATAAACTAGATTTTTGCGTCATTGTGGTGAATATTGATATAAACCTCTTTAATACATAATCATGTCTCAATAAATTGAATGTTGATATAAACCTCTTTTACATATATGTATACGAAACATCATGTCTCAAGATTTAAACCGATTTTCCAATCCCTCTGAAATTACATGCCTTGCCCAATTATTGAATATATATATATTTTATATAGTCGGTGGTTAATCTTATTTTTTCAATATTTACTTCCTTCACATGGACATTTAATCCTTTTTTATTATATATTGTGATATTGTTTAAACTAAATTACATACTATGTATCTCAATTTTACATGTGCCTGTGCACTGGATCCATCCACTCTATCTTTTCTTCATTGCATGGAATTTTTAAGAAGCACATCCGCCAATTTTTATGATATGTTGGTGAAATATTACCTTGAATCGATAAGGGCCCATTAGTTGTTACATTTGGTACAATGATGATGTGAATTACACCATCATCGTGATGTTTTTTTTTATCAGAGATGATTTAACTCATTCACCCCTGAAGACACATTTGAACTCTCCCAATTCAAATGGTTGGAATAGTTCATTATGAAACTTTAGGGGGGAATGAGTTAAAACAGTACAAAATATATTTTTACTCTGAACACATCAGATTTGGTCCAAATATACCAACCCACTCCGCAAAAATAACAACAGAAACAGTTTTAATAAATTTTGATTTTTTTTTTATCTTTGCATTTTACAGAGTTTGAATACAAAAAACATCCATGACATAAAAAAAAATGGGGTAGATACATCACAGATCAGAAGCACTGGACAAACAAATTGGATGAAAATAGGTACCAAGGCATGTGGTTAGCTACGACTACCTTGTAGACATGTACGAAAATATTTGTATAATATTTGATAATAAATAAATTGGAGATTGGCCCGTACAGACCAATTTTTTGAAGAATGTAATTGTTGACTGACCGACAATCGGGGCGATTACATTAGAAAAGTTCATGGAGTTCATCAGTTACGAATAAAACTGATAACGTGAACAGTTTATGGACAAAATTACATATTTGAAATATGCTGTAAAACTCCAATTGTTCTGAACACTTCGTTATGTGACTGTCTTTCTTGTTCAATACTGAAGACCACTTCTATTGACAAACTGACCATTTGTAACTTCTACGAAAGAAATTCATTTCACATGTACGGTAACTGGATGTGTGTGTCTTTGATTACAAGCATGACAACTAAATTTGGGTTGAAGCTCTAAAACAATATGTGAAGAAAATCATATATGCGTCAAAACAGAAATAATATACGGTATTCACCAGAATTTAAATTTGCAAATGACACAAGTACAGTGATATGCTTCTTGTTAAACAATTTGAATGAATTTTATTCTAGATTCTATATCTTGAATAGTTTTCGAGAAATAATCTTGAAATTATTATTAAACCTTAATGCTATTGAAACATAAGTAGGACTTTAATTTTACATGAAAAGATATTGAGTTTGATAAGCACATTCATGTATCCAATATTTGCATGTTATCCTTGCCTCAATCTAAGTTGAATTTGATCGTTACATCTTGATACAAATAAGAGTTATAGATTCACAGAGAAGTTAGTCACTTCTTTCGAGCGTAATCTCGGCATCTCACTCCTCAGAACAGTCTCTCATACTTTCACAAGGCTTCTTACATTTCCGCAAATCACACACATGAAATTGAAATAGATAATACTATGGAACTTCGACTCAATGGCAGCGGTCCTGTTGCCGTGGCCGGGGTGCTGCCTTTACGATATCGTCCACACGCAGGATCATTTCAGCTGCCTCGGATGCACTCATTACTACCTGGCGCTTCACTTGGAATGACTCGGTGATCCCCATCTTCTCCATATCGGCCACCTCTCCCAGTTCCATATCTAAACACACGAAATATTATTTACTGATTGTAGATTCTCTGAGTTTTGTTTCCTCACAATAGTTTTAAAGACAATATGAAGAAAATTGTGTCTACCTAGATTAAGGCTATGAAGTATCTTCGAACTGAAACGTCAAAACCTGGATAGCAAGACACAATACTCTGCAGTCACATTACTGTATACAAATGTACCAGGAAATTTTCGCTAGGTCAAACTTTTGCCCGTAGCTCATGAAATAAATTTACACCCAGCGTTATTTCCCCCCCTTCACATTTAATGACTATGTTCATTATATGAGTATATGCTTTTACTTATATTTGCTGTAATGAAAAGTTCGCCTTCATTACAGAGGGCAAATATGGCAAAAATTAAACTGCAACGAACATTTCCCAGTATGCTGTATTCTTATAGCCACACACAAATCAATTAAATCCACAAGTTAACTAGTCTAGAGTTTTCCCCTTATTGGTATTCTATTATTCTCCATTTCATCCACACAAATTCTGTAATAGATATAACAAGGGAACATCAGAAATATTTTTTTGATCCACAAAAATTCAAGTCTGGAAAATACTGATGTTGCAATACAACATTTTAGAAGATTTTTTTTGGATTCATTTATTCAAATAATAATGCACCTTTCCAAGTATCAATATCAGTAGCAACAGAATTTTAATTCAGAGAAGCCTGTCCATGCACATTAAGTGTCTGTTTCTCTTTGAATTAGTTAAATACACATTAGACCTAACAGCACTGGAATTTATCAGATCATACCTGGATGGTATAAAAGAGAATGTGCCACGTTTTACAAAACCCATCAGAAAACATAGCACTAGTTACATCCTAAGCTTCTGTTTTATATCAGTTGTATATATATCATGTACATAATACAGTATAATGTACATAATACATTATAATGTACATAATACGGTATAATGTACATAATACAGCATAATGTACATAATACAGTATAATGTACATAATACGGTATAATGTACATAATACAGTATGATGTACATAATACGATATAATGTACATAATACGGTATACTGTACATAATACGGTATAATGTACATAATACAGTATAATGTACATAATACAGTATAATGTACATAATACGGTATAATGTACATAATACAGTATAATGTACATGCAGACATTACATATAGACTCATATGTGAAAAGTTAAGAAGTGATAGCCCTTTAAACGATAAGACCTTAATGCAAAACTAATGGAAGAAATAAGGCCTAGATCTTAAATGCCTAGGTCCAAAGCAATAGCTACCCTTCATGTAGCAGTAAATTTGTATTTCATATAGCAGTCAAAATGCTTCCTAAAACTTACTAATGCCCATGGTGTTCTTTCCTTCGGAGTGTAGAGCCCGGAGCTCTGACACAAGTTGAGCACTGTCAAATCCTCCGTTGTCTGCTATGGTGGTTGGTAACTGTTCAAAAACAAAAAAATAATTCTGTGACTGCAGATAATGAAAGAGCTTAAAATGACCATGCTGAAATGTAACTAATAATTGAAAACTATGTCAAAATCTTCATAAATATATTGGTTAAAATATTTCCGCCACAATGATGTCAAAATGAAACAAAATGAAATTATTATCAATTCTGAAGTAAATAGGCGTTTTCTGTAGTGAAATAATGAATATGATGTACTTTGATGTTGAATTTGTTTTCGTGAAGGCAATTGAGGAGTTAGTGACAAAACATCTTCCGCTGGATAGAACTTAGATAAATTCAATCAATACCAAACTGTGAGTAATGTTCTGAAATGTTCTGTGACTCTTGACTTACATTCCTAAGTGCCTTTGAATAGGCTTCCATAGCTACAGCTTCCTTGCCGGGGGTCTTGGTAGCTAGACTGGAAACGGCATCAGCCATCAACATCTCAGAGCTTCCTACAATGTCAGAAACAGCCTTATAATCATAATAATAATAATCATTTGAGGTTATTGTATACCGATTTATCACAACCTAGTTCGTAGGTTGTCTCAAAGCGGCTCACAAATTATTATCCGTGGTTTTAGGGCCTTTGCAACCAGCCAATATTATTCTCAACTCCCTGGGGAGCATACAGCCGGTGTTTCCATTTCGGCGCTTACAGCTAGCATTCAACAATTCTATCACTGCCCAACCACATACTCATTTACAGCCGAGTAGACTGGAACAAGCGGAGTAGAGTATCTTGCTCAAAGATACAACACAGTGCCGTGACGTGACTCAAACCTGCAACCCTTTGGTCATGAGTCCGGCGTCCTACCATTAGACTACCATACCTTAAATGATGTTCGATACTGTATCCCTGCCCACACATAAAACATAACAAATATGCCTGTCAGTATTTCTAACCCACAATGCTGGTTCTAACTTTGACCTCAGATGGTGATCTACACTATGAAGCGTAATATTTTAATTACCCATTTTATATGTATAAAGCATTATCATTTTGAATCGTAGAATGTGCATACTGTTATTTGTATAATTAGAACATTTCATTCCTGTGTAGACTTCATTCTGAAATTGCCCTCATTCAAGTACAAGAATTTATCAGAAGTGGAAATTTGTGTTCTACAATAACTATGCTTTTGCATAGTCACATTGAAAACCTAGCTATTATAATAATTTGTTGATTGTTTTATTTTCGTAGAGAAACATACTTTCCCTAGAATGGAAAGATCTGGTGGGTGTAAGTTTAGGATCTAGGTTCCAAGTGAAACACCAGTTAGTGGAAGTAGCCGAAGATCTGAATCATTATGAAAATATTACCAATATAAATGTCCTCCATACCTCCATACCCTACTCATTAAAATATTATTGTGCACCATATAAAAGTAAATAAGAGTAACTACAACACTGAAAGTTCAGCATGGTAACTTCCATGTGCCTGACAACCCCCCCCCCCGTCTATTTTTAGTAATGGTGACAATGACCTTGAACTTGAAAAAACATTAAAACCAAAAAAATGCAAATCTATATTTTACAATGTATGGTCATGTCAATTTTTCCAGAAAGATAAGTCTTTCGGTTTCCGAGATGATCTCCAGAAATTAAAGTGTTTTTTGACCTGAATTTTACAACAACCTGTTCCTTTATGATTTGGAAAAATATAGCATTATTGTTATTGAAATTTGGAGTATATTCCTCATGTTTGGTCATTTTGGGGAAATAAGGCACTTTTTAGCAAGGGGAAACAGCCTGTATTTGGCTGTAAATCTGAGCAAAAACAAATCACTGTACCTCCGCCGAACACAGTCTTTGTTTCCTTGACTGTCTGTGTGAGGACACAAAGGGCGTCATGAATGGACCGCTCAGCTTCGTCCAAGATCTGTTTGGTGGCCCCTCTTAACACGATGGTACAAGCTTCTCCCAAAGCCACACCTGCCAACGAACAACAAATTAAATGTTTACTGGAGTATATGAGGAGAGTTATCCACCCTGATCACAGAATTCCTCGCAATGTATTCCACTTAGGAATTTATCTGTTTATCCTGACAAAAATTGTAAAATCCTATTAGTGTTTACCTGAGAATTTGATGAGTTTATCTTCCCCAATCATGACCTCGCTCATCAGGTCACAATGGCCCATCTTGACCAGCTCGGGACAGTCAAATGTGGACACAATCTCGCCACCTGTCGTAGAAATAAAGCCACACTTGAATTCGTAGATGGGAATACCTGATGGCGTCAAGTACATGCTGTTCTTGTTAAACATGTCAATTAAAATGTAACGGATCTAGATACCAAGTGAAAGTACAGTTAATCCAAAAACTTTCACTTTCACCCCCTCTAAGTGGACAAAGCTGTGATTAATCTTAAGATACAAATTTCGATGTAAAATGAATTCACAAATTTAACACTTCCGACAAATATGTTTGAAGTAATACAACACAGACCTACCAATCCTAAAATCACAAATGTAGTGTTGCGTAAAATTTGAAATTTCTACACCAGACAATCATTCTGAATGCATAATGCTTAAGATCTCAACCCACTGTGGAAGACTGTTAAGTATGACAAGTTGAACATTTCCCCCCCTATTGACTTCCCACATCTCATGATCAATTCCAAAGGGGTGACGATTATATTAATCTCATTTTAAATTCGGCTGAAAACTGTAGGAGTTGTGCAGACAAGATTGTGTTGGCCGACTTTTGTAAAAAGAGGAAAAACTCCCAATAACCAGAGATGGTGTCAAAGCCACCAATTGCTCGTCTGTTTAAAATGTTATTCTATTTTAAACAAAATGTAAAGTTCAAAAACTGGTTAAAAGTCTAAAAAAATGATTTTTTTTTTTTAAATTTTAACTTCACTTCATCAATATTTTACCCCACAGGAACCTCTAAGCAAAATGCCAGCATCCTAGTACACATATTTAATGAATGACAAGCTTCTGAATAACTTGCAGTTAAAACTTTAACGTTGATTAGCTTAAAAATAGTAAAGTACAATGGCTGAATCAAAACTATTAATAGCAAGTGAATAACTTTGGACTGTGTTTAATTACATCAGTGAAGTTTCATGAAATTTGGCTGAAAAATGTAGGAATTGTTGTCGAGACAAGACAGTGTCTACAGACCAATGGATGGACAGACAGCACGATTCCAGTGCCGCCGCCCCCCCGCCCCCCCTTCTAACTTTGCTTCAGGGATGAGGTAAGGCAGCAATGTTTTATGGTTTTTTTTTTAAATTAACTTCCACTAAAAAAGGTTCATGTGAAATTCCTGGTAGCATATTTTTCCTATTCATGTGTTCAAGTGTTCCTACCTGTCACCAGACCCAATCTTTCAATGCCATCAAAGTCGGCGTGCTCAATAGCCATCACGCCAGCATCAGCAAACAGCTGTTCTGGGTAGTTGTAGATGAGTTGTCTGAAATGAACAAAAGTACATTCATTTTAACACCCTCTGTTGGTGATTCTGGTACCAATACTTCATGTTAACAAAGTACTCNTCTCATTTCATAGTTTATTTTAGGCCTTTAAACCAAAAATCTTTACCTTCTAACTTTTTCCAGGTTCATATAACAGTCTACAGATGAAAGGACACATTGATCTGAGTTCCTCCCAAATTTTCATTACTGTTAATCAGGGGCTACAACTACAATTCCTTTATGACACTTATGGCATTAAAGGTACCATGGCATCAGACAGGTTTCATTTTTACTTGGAGTATTCTTTTACATTTTATAGAAGATGAAGCAGCCAAAAGGAATTTTCTGGCTTAAATCAATTTCAACTGTCAAGTTTGGCATCCTAAAAATAGGCCACCCATTTTGATGTTGCGCATTTATAATATCTGTATGACAACATTGCTAAAGTGTAAAGCTTTGTAACATAAAAGCGACAAGTTTGACCTTTGCAGTTTGTAAGTGTTATTTATTTCTATATTCAAACTTTCAAATTTCGAACAATTACGAATCTGTAAAATGCATGTTTTTATGGGAGTATTTCTTTTAAAAATGATTTAAACAAATATTTAGTAAAAGTGACACTGGTAATCACACAGTTTAACTTGTTACCTTAATACGTTTTACTCACCTGTTGATGAAAACGTTACAACCGTGCTTGAGGATTTTGTTGACCTTGTCCCTCATCTTCTCTCGCTCGGCAACCTCGAGTTCAGCGACCTTGGACACTGCATCTACTTTCACTTTTGTACCAAACACCTAGGTCAACCAAGATTGTCACATAATGAAAAGTACATTTTTCATAGGGAAATAAATTCCATTTTTTATGAAGTGAACTTTACTAACAACTATGACACAATGATGAAATTCAGCATCAGGAAGTTACATAGAAGCTGTCTGATCACAGAAACATATCATTTTCAAAGTTAATGTTTGAATTCTTTACATAAAGTTCTGTCCAGAAACGTTTTGAAAGTATCCTGGCACAATTTCTTTGAAGCATACCTTAGACATGAAATCAGAGCAGAGAGGGGGGAATTCAATTTGACAATGTATATAAGAGAAACAGTTGTTGATGGATGTTGGAGATGAGAATAACTTACCTTGATTTTATCTGTGTCCATGGGTGTGTTGGCAATAAGAATCTTACAATTTTCTATCCTCTTTGGCTGGTTTACTCCAATTTTCTTATCTAGCAGGAAACCTGTAAAAAACAAAGTTTTGTCAGCAAAACAATAACGCTGAAAAACGATGCATAAAATGATTTTTGATGATTACATGTTTCTTTTTGTTGGAGTGGTAAGCTAAGTATTTCTAAAACTAAGTAGACTATACCTCCTGACAAACTTTGGTCACAAAAATTAACAAAGGGCAATAACTCTGCTCTTAGTGACACAGGAGCCCAGATTTAAGTAAGCCACTCCGACATCATCCCAGTATTTGGCATTTGTTGGTGACATGGTATGAGAAATACCCAACACGAAGTGACACACAGTGACCGAAAAGGTTGTAACTCTGTATAATGTTGGGCATGAGAATTAATTCCAGTTTGTGAAACAGCCATCACAAAAGGTACCTACACATACAAAATCTGGCAGTTGTAGGTAAACGAGTGGTAGAGACGAACTCCCTGATAAAGGATGCATTGATCATGCACTGACAGACAGACGCAAATCCCTTCCAACAGTCCCAGTGATAGACACTGGACAAATGCTGGAGCCGAAACATTGGGTACACTATATAAATGACAAACCTTCGTCTAGGTATGAATCTGAAAGTCCACCGCCAAGCTTCTTGATGGTCTGAATAGCGTCTAGGTTACCACTGCCCTGTAAGTAAGGAGACAAGTCATGATACATTGCAGAGGTGTCGATCATTCATTTGTAAAATATTCCAATAATGTACAGGGTTTTTGCCAGGTGTTTATAGGGTCTCTGCATTTTCCAAATTTTGAGTCTTCGTTTTCCCAATTGGACTAAAAAGCATGTGTGCAATGTTTAGAGTATTTATTACAATCCATGAAGGAGCCTTCAAAGTACATAAAAAACTTAAAATACTGAACATTTATGTGTTTATTTATTGTTTTACATTTTACTAAGTCACCTAGAAGAAAACGTTTTGCTAATCACATTGCAGGTTTTGTTTGTTTCAAACACATATTTTCCCCTACCTGTACATTTTGGAACACTGATATTTCCCCAGACCTGTACATGTGGGAACACTGATGATATTTCCCAATTTTTGTCAAATGCCAATGATATTTTCCCTGTTTCCTACTCAGGGACCGGTCTTTCCCAAAATAGCTGGCAAAAACCCTGATGTGATAAATATTTTCAATGTAAAAGTTCATTTTCACAAAGAAATAATTAGGACTGTGACTTGCCTTCAGTCTTAGTACAGCATTGACACACATGTTGGAAAAGTAATCTTTGTACTGTGTGAGGATTTTAGAGCTGAGAGTGGTCCTGGCTATATTCATCAAGTCGTTCCTGAACTTCTCAGGATCATTTCTGCAAAAAAAAAAAAATCAGAATAATTCAGCAGTGCCTATAGGCTACAGATATTGAGAGCAAAATGAACCGCTTTGATATAAAGTCTACATCAAACACTCTTATGGCAAAAGACACTTGGATAAAAAAAGTTTTTATTTGGTACAGTATTACATTTTTTCAGTCAGTGGTTTTTTTTTTTACAAATGTTTAACAAGCCTGTTCAAGAAATAATAATAATTTCATTACAATTTGATTCACACAGAGTCTTCAAGTCTTTTGGGTTCATAATGAAGACTTCAGTTTATTGAACAAAATAATCAACATTTTCTTGAAATAAAATTGGTCTTTACGTTTTCTTCATGAAGGCTTTTTATGATAAACCTTTAAAGCCTTATGCCTATATTACGAGTCTTGAAGACATATCCAGTTTCCCTGGTTAAATCTGATGGACTTGTGATATACCTAGCATTAAGTTAAAAGTATACTTACCTGTAGTCTGACAATATCTATTCAGTGTTTTTGTTTCCTAAATTAACAACAGCTTGTTCCTCTATGAATTAGGCCAAATAAAATTAATTACTTGGTTCTCAGGCCAATTTTTTTCAAAAGAGATGCGGCAGGGCAGTATCTTTTTTTTCATTTTACAAGGCAAAAACGAGACGAGGTCAATTTTTTTCAAAAGAGATGCGGCAGGGCTGTATTTTTCCCCCCCCATTTTACATGGCAAAAACGAGATGAGGGCAATTTTTTTTGTATTGTGTAGTTTGTCACGTTCATTGTGGGCAATACCTTGTCTTTTTATAGTTGTGTAGAGACCCCTCATAGAGCAAGCCTCCAAAAATCCCCCCACGATGTTCCAGACGAGAATCACGAACCCCCCATTCCTTATTTGTACCGAAATGAGCGCCATTTGTACACAAGACTAATAAGTCATAACCATTTTAACGCTTGCCTGTATATCGATCCTTATCTCTATTCAAACGTTTTCGGGACTTGGTTGACTAACGAGTAAAAACAACATGCGGAACAATTTTCCGGATTTTTTTTAAGACGGCAGCTGGCGCATTCACATTTTTTATTTATTACTTTCACGATAAAATCAGCAATGTGGTGCCCTAAAATGAAATGTGCGCGGGCCTGAGAACCAAGTAATCAATTTTGTTTGGAAAATATAGCAATATTTTTATTGAAATTGGGAATATATTCTTATTTTTTTTGTCATTTTGAGAAAATACGCCACTTTTTAGCTAGGGGAAACAGCCTGTATTCGGCTGTAAACCTTACGACTCTATCTGACACTAAGTTAAAAGTAGACATACCCATGGTCCCTGGCGAAGTCTGTGAGGGCCTGTCTGGCCACATCCGTTGCCTTCCTCCAGCCAGTGATGATGGTTTGGGGATGAATTCTCTGTGAGACCAATGCTTCCGCCTCCTACACACAAACAACACAACAGTTTAAGGAACATTTGTTGGTATCTTAAATTTTGTCCAAGACAATCGAAAACAAGTACACCATAATATCCTTGGTCTGGCAGAGCTGGTCAAAACAGTTGATATAAAGAGAAGAAGTTTCATTTCCTTTTTTTAGTGAAAAGACACGGGGATCACAATCAACATTGAAGCACAACACTGTGCGGTACTGTTTCATCTTTTCCTTGTTTATATTTCTTGCTGCTTACCTTGAGGAGCTCGCATGCTAACACAACCACGGATGTTGTACCATCTCCTACTTCATCATCCTGTACCTTAGAAATATCTACAAAAGATAAACTACCAGTATAGCGTATTTATCAAACTATATGTAAACTTTATTTATTTTACAACAATTATGAAACAATTTTTACAACTTGTACAGTAACTAATCACTCTTGTTGACCCGGATGTTAGTGGAGCACCTGAATAAAACATATGTTGTAGGATTTCACGTCCGATCAGGGAATCGACCCCGGCCGCCTCGGTGAAAGGCAAGTGTGGTGTCCACTGCGCCACCTGACCACACTTGCGCCACCTGACCACACTTGCGCCACCTGACCACACTGCGCCACCTGACCACACTGTGCCAACTACACTTTAAACAGACACCTACCCTACCAGTTCAATAACTACAATGTCATTGACTTCATTCGTTTTGATTTGAAGACGTCCAGCAAAAGCACATTTAAATATCTTTATATATTCTTACAGCTATTCCAATACATCCTCATCCGTTGCAAGATGATTAACATATATTTTATGAGATCTCTACAAAAAAGAACAGACCATGGTTTTTTCCATGAACTGGGGTGTGTGTGTATTTTTAACTGGACTAAATGCTACAAAACACATTTATTTACAAAACTGGAGTCAACCAAACTTTTCAAATACCAGCAATGTTGAAAACATAACATGTATGCATCATGAGGGGCACAATGAATGCCTTTTAGGCATCACATGTTCTGGATACTGAACAGGAGACACTGTTTACAAATAAACTTCAAATATAGACATTTTCTCATTTTTTTATCACCTGGTTGTTCAAAACCACCAGGAAATTCCATTTAAATAAACATACATGTCCGACCACCAGACCGTGAAATTAAATTCTTTACATTCCAGCTCACCACTTAAAAGAAACCAGCTTTGTTCCAGGTCATATGCTAACGAATACCACCGATGTTCCATGACCATGTCATTGATTTTGACAATAAATTGAAATTTAAGGTTGATTTTCATTAACTAGACCATGCATCCAGTAATCTCCAGTATATGGTTAATGGCATCATACTTATAAAGATGCCTCTATCCCCACTCAAGTTTAATGGTCTCATAAAATATACTACAATAAATCAGTGATTCCATAGATGTTTGTCTTACCAACTAAAACTTTAGCTGCTGGATTGTCTATTCCGATGGCTTTCAATATTGTCGCTCCGTCGTTAGTTACAGAAATGTGATCACCTCCTTGTAGAATTTTGTCCTGGTCAAAGAAAATGAAATTATTGAATTCTACAGCTATGTCACGAATGTTTGGACAATCGGCTAGACTCTAATATCTGACAATCAGTTAGTGGTCCAGCTTTTTACACCTACCAACAAGAGTACCGCAACGCGGAACAATAAAAGCCCGTCGAATGCCATAAAGTGTTATATAATTTCTTACATTGAAATAAGATATGCATCATTTTAAGAGTGGTTAGCTGACATGCTATAAAAAATGTAGGGAGAAAATATTTTGGAAAAATTGTCAAATCAAAATTCTTTTAAGGGAGACACAACTTCATATCATGATTATAATGAGTACCATGTTTCAAAGAGATCGGTCGCAAAATTGAGGAGGAGATTGCCGGACAAACGAAAGTTTACGTCGGCCAGCCAACCCCATACCATAATACTTTCATCAAATTTGACGGGCGTATAAAAAAAGTTAGAACAAGTTAGTGTTACCTTGGTAACAAAACTAACATAGATTAATGAATTCAGAGAGAGTGTGGACAACACCGCAGAATCTTGCTTATAGATGAATTAATTCCAGCCTTGTGTTTACATGATTCGCCTTAAAGGTGAGCCGTCATCTGAACACAAATTAATCGTGACACCACCGAGATGTTGTAAGCAACAAGTTGTTTTATTAAAGCTCTTGTCAAAATTCATTTATGAGGTATGTGTGGGGATTCTGAATACTACATGTTTCCATGCCAAGGTTATTAGACACTACCTGGACTAGTTGAATAGATTATTTACTAGATCTTCATCTGCAATGTAGCTTGTCCAAGATTTTCTGATAAGGAAACATTGCGATCTTCAGCACGAAACATCAAAAGTAATCGACTGTAAGGAACTTGCAATAACTACTGCCATAAATATATGGCGAAGTTGCAATATATCTTATTTTGAGCAGTTTTCTAAATTTTAAAATTGAATATTCTGATCTTATAATTTTACTTTTCACAAGTCTGAAGGACCAGTTAGGTTAGATGATTCTCTAGTCTTTGCTGAAATCTACTAGCCTAGGATTAGTGGACTAGTGTTAGTGTCGACTCTTGCATGGTGGTTATCATCTCAATTGCACCGGATTTTCGACTTTAAAGGGACGTTGTGTCTCCAACCCCCTCATAAACGAATTAACAGGCATTAATTCAGAAAACTTTCGAGAATGTTTGCAATGTTCAACACCTTTTTATATTGCTGGAAACTTTTAAGCAAATGACTTAAAATTCACATTTATAAACAATATTTACTGTATGAGTATCATTTCAATACTTAATTGTAAAATTGAATTGCCAGGATTGTAATTTACTGTATATCTAAAGGTTTGCTTTTTTGTTTACATTGAAATTACCCACATCTATATAAACACTTACCATTCCTTTTGGTCCCAGTGTGCTCTTAACTAGATCGCCAATGGCAATAGCTCCAACAAAGGAGGACTGTTAATGAAATGAAAATACAGTTCTATATCATTTACAACATAGATTATCTAAATTGAATACATATTGATAAAATATATTGCCTTTAACTGAGAGAGATCAGGTTATCTCAGTCAAGGGCTAGGATTCTGTAACATACTCATAACAAAGGCTGAGCTTAGATTTGGATGTTACAGAATCTTAGCCCCTGACTGCGATAACCGATCTTGCTCAGTTAGAGGTGATTGATCATTTTTGTTCGAAAAACTATTTGATATTGCTTAAGTCTACAAATATCTCGTCTGGGGCCTCAAATAAATTAGGCTTATTCACTTCTACATTTGAATGCTTCCAAATAAAAATGTAGTCCCTCCTTGTTAATTATCAGAAGACAACATATTTGACATTATAGATTATATATTTTCTACCACATCCGGAATCTAACGACATGTAAACATTACATATAACAACAAAACAGAATATTTATGATGTGGATTGTCTATTTCAAGCTGTTATCACGCAGATGAATACAATGCTATGTGAAAATTCCATAAAATGTCACGTAAAGATGCCAGACCAATCAAATGCAATAGAAAAATCTAGCATGGGATATCCCCATCCGAGGTGCTAGAATCCAAATTCTGGCATTCGCAGCAATGCCAACTACGTTTTCTATAAATTGTTTGGTTTTATATGGTTTAGCATCCTATTAACAGCTTAGGTAATTTTGCTGCCTTGTGTATAATGCATGCATCTATGTTTGCTATAGGCAGCATATTGGTGTATTTGCCTGCTGGATCTGAAACCGACCTCAGAATATTACCTCAATGTAATAATGTAATATCACGCCAAAGACACAGAGCACAATATTCACCCAGTCAGATTACACAGACAGCAGTTGTTGTGGTTTCCCTAAATGCAGGGAATAACAACTACCATTTTAAAGGACTTTGTTAATTATGTCCTGTCATGAGGAAAGTACACAATGCCATCCTCACTGAGTGAACATTCAACGAAAAGGCCAAAAGTGATGTACCGCAAAGCAAAATACTAAGAAACAAAATGTTTAATTAAGGAAGTTGCGAGAAAATAAAAAGATCCCAAATTTTGCAATAGATACAGATTTATCAGGTTGGGGAAAACCACCAACTTGCGTATATACGCAAACTAGCCTATTATACGCAAGTTGGAGTATGGATTTGTTACTAAAAATAACCCAAATCGCTTTAACAGTAACTTTTGCAAGATATTATTGAAAATCACATTATTTTACGACATGGTAAATAATATTTTGCTAAAAGATGTTGACTGAAAGCATTGGCTACTTAGAAAGTTGATGTAACTTTACCGGAAATATCGATCTATTTTTGGTACTTTCCCACATGCAAATAAAGTTTATTTTTGCATTTGTATTATTTTTCATGAAAGAATAAATGCGACTTGGACAAACAATTTGAAAAAGTTAAGATTTAAGTTATTTTGGCTATTTTTAGTGACAAATCCATACCCCTATTGACGTATAATAGGCGAGTTTGCGTATGATACGCAAGTTAGTGTTTTTTCTCCGACCTGTTTATATTTGTCCCTTTTGTGAGTGCACAAAAGCAAATCTCTAGTTATGCAGGTATTCATAGTTGCTATTTTAGTGCAACATGCAGTGGGTAACAGCAGGTATATTATTTTCTAAATATCTAATTTCCCCTGCTGGGGAGAAAAATGAAAGCCAGTGACCATATTTGGTATTTCTTGTGTCCTTTACTTAAATTAAGGTTTACTTATTACAGTCTACTATATGTTGGTATTTGGAGATATGCAAGGATATTTTGATTAACAAAAAACGGTCAATACCAATCTGGCTGTCTCAGCCTTCTCCTCTTCTGCACCGGCCTTGAAGATCTGTACTGGATTCAGAGAAACCTAGAAAATATCAAGTATTTAATATAACATTATTAACAACAGTGTAACATAGTGTTTATAGAACCCTTTAAAATAATAAAATAAGCAATTAAATCGAGAACCAAACTCGAACATTCTCGACTGTTCTGGGACAGTGTGCAATATATTATATACCCCCCCCCTCTCTATATTTCAGCTCGAATTAAATATAATTGTGTTACATATGAAGATTATTTCATACTTAAATATCAGTGTGTTATTGAGAAAAAGTGCATTTAAAGCAGTTGGCACCCTGAATAATTCCAACAAATGCTAATTTTCAATGTGTTTCGATTCAAGTTGATGCTTGTCAACCCCATGTTTATGTACGGGCCGGTTTAGCACATGGTCTCCATGCTGGATCCGCGTGGTGAAAAAACTAGTTCTGTTTACCATTTATCTTCAACAAAACACTGACTATTCTTTGTATTTCACGTCTTAGCTATCCTATGCAAGATTTCGTTTACTTACCATCTTGTTTTTTGTTTAAAACGTCAGAAACAACAGCATACAACTTCTGGAATCTTCGGTTTCTCGACTGGCACACTTTCAGATAAAAATATATATTGCGGAATGCAATTTGAAACGAAACGAGTTACCAAATAACAAACGAAACGATATGATATATATATTACCATACGGAAGAACCGTAACGATAATAACAATATTACTGATAACATTTGCTGCAATAAACTACACAGAGTTTTAAATATTGATCTGAATAAGTTTCAGCTTAAGTTTTTTTGTCAACAGGGATTTACGTATAATATAAATATACAATGGCATTGATGTTAAAGGGGAATAACTCGCATGACCATATAAATAAAACAAATAAACTTAAACATCCCTTACACATATGGAGTTATGCACGCTTAACTTTTGTTCAAAGACGGAATTAGATTTAGATTATCTCATTTCTAAGTCCGTGGTTCAAGATATTGATCATTGACACATACAATTGGGGG